AAAAAAAAATAAAGTCATATGGTTCAACAGTTATTAGTAGATTCACAAGACTGCACACTGCAACATTAATTCCAGAACACATTTTATCACTCCTAAAGGAAACCCCTTACTTGTTAGTAGTTACTAACTGTGCCCTAACCTTAGCCCCAGTAATCAGCAGTTTGCTTCCTGTTCCATATTGTGGCCATCATAGAATCATTCAGTGTATGAAATGTCTAACATTCTCTTAGCACAATGTTTTCAGGGTTCCTCCCTATTGTAGCATGTATCGTTACTTCATTTCTTTTTACATCTGTGTTGCATATGCACCACATTTTATTTTTTCATTCATTAACTGGTGGACGTTTGGGTTATTTTCACTTTTTGGCTATTATGAGTAATTCTTTTAGGAACATTTTTGTGCAAATTTTTCTGAGTACATAATGCTTCCTTTTTTCTTGAGTTTATATATAGGAGTGAAATTGTTGGGTCATATGGTAACTGTGCTTTCTGCGGGACTTCCAGATTTTATATTCATACCAGCATTATATGAAGGTTACAGTCTCCATGTCTTTAATATTTTTTATTCTTTATGTTTTTGACTATAGTCTTTTAGTGGATATGAAGTATTATCTGATTGGGGTTTTGATTTGCCTTTATAATGATGATATTAAATGTTTTTCATGCATGTGCTATTTTTGTATATGTTCTTTGAAAAATCATCTATTCAGATCCTTTGCCAATTTTAATAGTGTTTTCTTTTTATTGTTAAGTTGTAAGTGTTCTTTATTCTTCTGAGTACTAAATCCTTATCAGATATATGACTTAAATATTTTCTTCCATTGTCCTACTTTTAATTTTCTTAGAATCATTAAAACACAAATTTTTCTTTAATTTCAAAAATGAAATTTATCTACTTTTTCTTTATAATGTAGGTGTCATATCTAAGAACCTGTTGTCTAGCCTAAGGTCACAAAGACATGTGCATGTTTCCTTTGAGGAAGTTTTAGGTCTTTGATAGGTTTCAATTTTTATTTTTTGTGTTACTGGGGCTTGAACTCCTTGCACATGATAGGCAAGTGCTGTAACAGTGAGCTATATACCCAGTCCTTTTCCTTTTTTTATTTTGTGACAGGGTTTTCTTAAATTCCCGAGGCTGGATTTGTGGTTTTCCTACTTCCGTTTCCTGGCTGGCTGATTACAGACGTTCACCTGTGATTTGAGTTTATTCTTGAATATGAAGTGAAGGGATCTACATTCATTCTTTTCAGCTTAGAGTAAAACAGTTTATTAAAACTGATTTTTAAAAAGTCTTAGCTTGTATCTGGGTCAGAATCATATTCCTCAGCCTGCTCATGTTTTTCTTTCTCCACTTTAGTTCTCACTGACTTTGGATTTTAATATTATTGTTACAAAAATCTGACTCTATAGACTTTGAGGTAACTTTCCAGGGTGTGAGACAACTTCCAGTTCCTGAACAGGTTCTGACACAGGAGGTGCTCAGGAAACATTTTTTGGATGAATGATTCCTCTGAACAGCACTTTGTGATCACATGCAGTTCCAACTGATGCCCCATCTAGTATCCCAGTTAGTTGGCTTGAAATACTTCATTATGAGCAAAATGCTTAAGGCTAGATTCTGTAGAGTGCCTTCAAAGCCTTGTAGTTATTCTCTCCATATATTCTTTTTCTTTTTCTTTTATTGAGACAGAGTCTCACTATGCAGCTCAGGCCAGCCTTGAGCTCACTTTGTAGCCCAGGCTGGCTAACTCACAACAATCCTCTTGCCCATTGCTAGGATTACAGACTTGTGCCGCCATGCCTGGCCCTTCATATATATCTTAAAGAGAAGAAAACAATATGACTCACTTAACATCAAACTGAATTCACTTTAGTCCTACAACCAGGAAAAAACATACTTTTTTTTTTTTTAAAGGTGGGTTTTTATTTTTTTTATTTAATTTTTTGGCAGAACTGGGGATTGAACTCAGGCCCTTGTGCTTGCTAGGCTAGCACTTATTCTACAGAGCCATCTCCCTGGCCCCCAAAACATACTTTTTTGTGTATTAAAAACTAGTTTATTTTCTCTCTCTGTCTCTTTGTGTCTCTGTCTCTGTCTCTCTCTCTCTCTGAGGCACACACACACACACACACACACACACACATTTCTGAAGATAAGAGTCTGCTTCTGGGTGACAGGGAGCAGTGACACAGTGAGCAAGTGGTGAACCCAGAAGCAAAGAGTGTACCTTTATTGTTAGATTCTGGAGAGAGCTACGGTTCAGTAGGTCAATAGATTTCCTATAAGGTATGTGGCTGTGAATCTCAGAGACTACTAGAAAAGTGTTCTAGACCTTGCACCTCAGTACCTCTGTCTTACCTTTCAACATATTATTGTTATGTCTCTGTGTTTATATTATCTTTGCTAGTGGAACTGTCTGGCTAATTCCATACCTATTGGTGTCTGTAACAGACAATATATTTCTCAACTCTTGTTCACAGAGGGACCTGTCAGGGCACAAGAACATTGTGGGGTACATTGATTCTAGCATCAACAATGTCAGCAGTGGTGATGTATGGGAAGTTCTCATTCTCATGGATTTCTGCAGAGGTATGTATATGAACCATGGCTTTGTTTTTTTTTGTTTTTTTTTTTGTGGTACTGGGGATCGAACTTGGGACCTTGCACTTCCCAGGTCTTATGTTCGCTGAGCTATATCCCTCAGCCATGAACCATATTATTAAACTTTTCTCTAGCATTTTTATTATCAAGGACATAGGGATCCTTTTATTTAATTTATATTGTACTCTAAACTATGTTGTTTTAGTATTAGAGATAGATTAAAATGATACAGGGTCTGCTGTAAACTTTAGGTTATTAAGATGATTAAAAAAAGATGATAAGGAACCATGGTACAAACAATTAAAAGTAATGGATAATATAAAACCCTGTTTATATTGGGTTTACAAAGGTTTGGTCATGTATATAAATGAGAACATAGGAGAATTTGAATGAATGTGCTCTTTGTGATGCTTTGAAACAAATGATGGAGACACATAATAAAGGCCCAACTCCAGATGGACCAGAGAAGCAGTGCTGCTTCCCCACCCCCTCGCTTGTATGTTCTCTTCCTCACTCACACTATCATCCTTGTGTTACTGGCTAAAAGGATCCTTTTTGTGATGGAAACGATCTTTTTCTCCTGGCTGTAGAGCTGTGATTTCTGGTAAGGCTACATTTAAATGATGCTGCTGTTAGCAGTGGCATTTAAATAGTTGAAATCTTGAAGTTGCAAAGAACATTTGTCTTGAGAGATACAGGCTGTAGATTGAATGTATTCACAGAGTTGACTGTATTATAACCACTGTTTGCGGGTTTGGCTTTTTTGGCCTAAGCAGCTGCCGCCTACAAACTTGGGCCATTGTCTTACTATCTTGTAATTGCTCTTGGCTCCAGTAACATTTTCCTATCTTTAAAGATACCATCTATAAATTAAATATGTTATTTATCCCAAAAATATGAGTTCAACTAGTAATTTCGGTCTTCATTATATTAAGTATTAGCCAATTTTATGAAACATTACCAAATTCGAACTCAACCGTTTACTTTCTCCTGACTGTTCTTTTTTGGACAGTAAAATGTTTAGAGGCTAGGCAGTAGTACAAAGATCTGCATGATTTTGTAAGGGAGGTCATCAGTTTTTTGGTCCTGCAGATGAGACACTGGTGTAGCATTTCCACAGGCCAAGTAGTAAGTGAAGAAGCCAGAATTATATTCCCAAAGCACAGGCTGTAATGCTGTTTCATTCCTGCTCCCTGGGTCTGCTGTGCCATCTGATTCTAACAAAAAGGGATGGCAAGTGAGGCTGTGGCCTCATCTCTTACACAACAGGGGCAGTATAGGCGGGGACCAAGAGCAGGACCATTTTATCAGTTCTGCCGCTAATCTTGAAGACATAATGAGGGCAGCTAATATCTGGGTACTTTATAAAATAAAGGAACTGGTTTTGACACATTAGAGGAAGCATTGTATTAGTTTTTAAAAAAATAAAAAATCCCGAGGTCAGGGAGATGGCTCAGTAGAATAAGCGCTCCTCTGGCAAGCGCAAGGGCCTGAGTTCAATCCCCGGTTCCACCAAATAAAAAAATAAATCCTAAGCTGTGAGAGCACTGGGGCTTCAGTCTGGCTTGGCCATTTTCAGCTCTGTCACTTTCATCTGGGCTGTTTCTCTTTGGGTAGCCGCTCCTTCTCGGTCTGAGAGACGAAACTGTTTTATAACCTCTCCTTTGCTTTGTACCCCTCTCAGGAGGCCAAGTGGTAAACCTAATGAACCAGCGCCTGCAAACAGGCTTTACAGAGAATGAAGTGCTGCAGATATTCTGTGATACCTGTGAAGCTGTTGCCCGCCTGCATCAGTGCAAAACTCCTATTATCCACCGTGACCTGAAGGTAACAGACCACACTATTTCACTAAGGGCGTTCTTGCTGAGTATTTTATCTCTATTCCAGGGATGGAGTAGCTACTATGGGGATATAAAGGAATTTTAAAGCATGGTACCTGATTCCAGTCTTAACATCTGCTTGGAGTGGGTGAAAAGACAAAGAAAACAGTATAGTGAGGCATCCGTTTTGCTACATAAGTAGCCTCCAGAAATGATAGTTATCAAATACCAGAACCCATGATATTTTCATTTTTCTTTTTCTTTTTCTTTTTTTGGTGGAACTGGGAATTGAACTCAGGCCCTTGCGCTTGCTGGGGAAACTTATTCTACTGAGCCATCTCCCCGGCCCCGTTTTTCTCACCATACTCCCAAATTCACATTTCCGGAGACGAAAAATAATACATTAATTTAACTGTTTGTAAATGTGTGGTTTTTAAATGTCTCTTTTATATTTTGCAAAAAATCATTAATCAATTATTTTTAAAATCAGTGCTACTGATCACCATCACCTTGTGCTGTGCCTTTCATATGATAGTCCCTCAATGTACATGCTGAATGGAATTGGCATCCCATTAGTTTAGCTTTTTATTTTTCTTTAGCGTATTTGGTACAGGGTCTCACTACGCAGCTTAGACTCTTAGTGCTTTTTTTTTTTTTTTTTTTTGTTTGGGTTTTTTTTTTGGCAGAACCAGAGATTGAATTCAGGTCCTTGTGCTTGCCAGGCAAGTGCTTATTCTACTGAGCCATCTCCCCAGCC